ATTAAACTGATCTAGGGCGGGCTTGTCGCTGTTCAACCATAAGAGAGTTTTTGCTCTGGGCCGGCTAGCATTTTCCTACGTAATATGGTTACAGTTTAGGGTTTGGTATAGGCCAGGTAGTTTCTCCAAAAGTATCTTTTCTGGGGAGAGAGAAGGGTTGCTGCTGCAACGATGCTCAGCATGTCGTGCCAGTTGGTTTCAAGGAACAAGAATAGTCCCTGGCTGGTTTTTATCACTAGTACAGGTATTGGCAGAAGGGCAAGTTGAGGGATGGCAGCCTTGCAAGCTGACTTCCCACACTGCAAAATGATTTGGGAGATAAATCATGGAGGCACAGTTCTCTTGATCTGTCCAAAAAGGCAGAATTTGGGAATACAATAGAGAAGTACTGTAGTTTTCTCCTTTATTGTGCCATGTCTCAAGATTATGTCTTAGGAACCTACCACCACCCACACAGCAAGCAGACCAAACAGTAACCTGCTCTTCTCTGATGGAGTTGCAGCCATAACTCACCTTTTTTTTTGATACTCATGGATTTTTGGTTGTTGTTTTGGTTTTGGTTTGGTTTTTATTTTGTTAAGAAAAAGCCCTAAACAAACAAAACAACAAAAATCTCCCACTAACACAAAACATCCACAAAACCAAAATCAAAACAAGGATGCTATTTATTACTGGCAGATGAATCAGTTTGCATAGCTGTCAAAATCTATGTCTTCATTGTACTATATACTATACTATGTACTGTATTTTTATATATAGTTTATATATACTACTACACACTATATACTGTATAGTATTTACTATAGTAGCATTTTCGTACATATCCAGCTGACGACCAGTGGTGTGCTTTACTCTAGGACCCATCCCCTGCATTATCTGCAGTCTTCTCAAGGGTAATATTACCAACTTTCATGTTTTCCTTGTCTGCTAGTCAATGACAATTGTATCTGTTTCTTCCTCTGTGGCATATGAATTGAGTAACAGGTAGGGGCTGCACATTTTTTCAGCTGTACATGTGTAGAAGGCAAATTCTCTTCTGAACTAAACAGCATAGTAACCAAAAGACTGAGCGTTTGGTCCAGATTAATTAAAAAGAAATATGTTTCTTTCATTACTCTGCAATCTGTCTGTTTCTCTTATTGATGTCTCATGCCATTTGCCTACATGCAATTTTAGCCTTGAACTTAATGCTAAGTTCTGTTCAGTAAGTCGCCAAATGCCTTTCAGGATTGTTGCCAAAAATATTCTCTCTCCTACCCAAAACTGACGTGGCGACTCCAATTCATTCACATACAGCATCTAGCTTTGACCTACTGTAATTCCTTGGTTTGCTGGGCTTGGAGCCAAATCAATTGGCAGACTCCAGCTTAGTCAGAAATCAGCAACAAGGCTTCTGACCCAACCACGCCAACTCTATATCCTCCCTGTGCTGCGAATCTATATTTGAAAAGCATGTTATACATTTACTGTAACAGTTTCCTTTACGCTGTAATTTTATGGGTGGAATTTTTCTTTTACCCTGCATGTCAACTGTCGCACTCTTACAGAATTTTTCTGAGCTAAATTGCCATATATTCTACTCTTGCACTTACAGTAATTTAGTGCAAAGCCCTTTTCATCCTGTATCCCTAATTGGTGGAATTAGGAGCAAAATTCTACATGAAATCTGATTATTTTATCTGCCAGTGAGGAGTTGTTTTTACTTTAACACATTGTGTTTCAGTTTCTATTTTGATTCTTCAACGTTTGGTTGCTGATGTTCTTTATTACTGCATACAAGAAATTAAAAATAATCATGTATGCATAGCAGCTCATAAAGGAAGATTTGAGTACTTCTTGTCTCCTGAACCCAGGGAGAAATTTCAGCCTTCACTCAATCATGTATTTAAAATAGCGTGCTTGATAACTGTAATGGAGGGTAAAGTGTTCTCTCCACCTCTTAATCTGCAGATGAGGCTTATATTTTGGCTCTCATTTATTTCTGTTCTCTGGTAGTATCATTTTCAAATATCCTGTATCAAATATTCTCTTGCCCTGGAGATACTCTCATTTTCCATTTAATCCAATCTTGTATGCAACTTCCTCAGGCATCGTTTAAGGGATTTTTGTTGTTGTTGTTACTGGTTTTTCTGGTCGTTTTTACATTTATACTCGATAACAGTACCCCATTCTGGTAGCATGTTTCACAGCAACAGAAACTGACATTTACACTTTCTTTTAAGATGCTTACTATGAGCTGACACCTCTAATAAAGTGTATTGTAGTTACAGCACATTTGCTAAACATTGACATTTGTGTATCACTCTAGGCTTGGTTATCTGGATGGTTTTAGTTATTTATAACTCAGCAGAAAAAACATTTAGTTAATAATCCTTTGTTTGAAACATGCCACATAAATTACTAGCTGTAGAATAAGTCATTAGGAAAGATGCAATTATTTACATCCTATAAGCTATATTGATAGGAAAAACAATGATTTGGTATGGGTCCTTCCAGAATAATGCAGCTTTTTAAACCCTAATTTAGTAAGGAAACATCTTTGCATATAGTCAATGAAAATTTGATATGGCGTAGAATTTACCGACAGAGGTTTGACAATGAATATTTTATGTTACTTAATAATTCTACTCACCAGTCACAGTTGACAGTACAGTGCATCCTACAGTTCAAGGTGCCTTAAAGAGATAGATATGATCTTTTATTTCATTCTGGAATCTTTTTTTTAAAGGTCAGGAAACAGTCTGAAAACCATAGTCAGCAGTGAGACCAGGAACAACTGTTTCACTCAGATTCTGCAGATATCAGCCTGAAATCTGGGCCCTCACTTTGGCCAAGTCTTACCCAGACATGGACAGAAAATGGGTTAACTGGAGGGTTCCTCAGCTAGTATCAACTCTCTTGGCTTCCCCTTACAGATGAATCTACCATCCTTATGGGCTTGCCCATACAAACTTGATTGTGATCGGGGGGGGATACATTATGTCTTGTCTTCCAGTTACCCAGATCACAGGAGTTATGCCCACTTTAGGCTTCCAGGGTGTCTGTGGGAGAACAAATGAATCTTGATGCAACATGAATTAACCTACTAAGAAATATGAACTGGCAGAATGGATTTATATTGGATTGTTACCTCATAACACACAAACACAGGATTTTAATGCAGTACAAAAAGACATGAGGCCACTTTACCGTACTGTCAAACCATGGCCTTGGCTGCTCTTTAGCTCTAATGTAAAACTTGGAGACCTTTTAGATTGGGTATTACCTGTCAGTGTTGGTAACACTTCATAGCCTATATGGCTGTGTATACTGAAATTGCTGTACATACATTGACAATTTATTTAAATACAGAATACTGGGATGTTGATCTTTGATATGTACTAATTCAATGTTCGCCTCTATGTTTCTCTTTCTTAATTAACCCTAGCTGCCTGTTGCATAAAGTTTCTTTAAATGCCTTGATTTTTAGCATCTAGTACTCATGGTATCCTACCTCCTTTAGATTTTTCACTCCTGAAAGTTAGGTAAGTGAAGGAGATCCTTTTTCTGCTGACTTTATCTACTGTAGTTATGCAAGAAAAACTCTTTGACATCTTCTTAGCTTGCGTTTCCATTGAGGAGAGTTTCTAAAATGATCAGTTAATGACTTTTGATAAATCTTAGCACCTGCTCAGAGAATGGAAATTAATCACTTCGAAGTTCAAATGTTTTTTCAAAATTCAGATGATCTTACTAATACCTGTTAGTGTAAATAGAAAACCAGCTCTTCCTCCTATCTTTGTCTATCTTTTCTGCTTGAATTTCCACTTGCAAACTAAAACCAGATTGTTAATTAAGCAAGATTTTCTGAGCACCTGGGCCATCAACACAACGATAGTAATTAAATTTGAGCCTCCGTTTCTATACACATAATAAGAAAGCTTTAAAATTTTCATTCTTTTCAAATTAATTGAGTAAATACACACAACATAACTTCCTTGATAAATCCACCCTTCACTCCAAGCAAGTTCTAATAGGCTGAAATTACCACATCTGCTATTAAAAGTTAAATGAATCACAGATGGATCAGATCATCCCAGTAGTTTTGAGGCACCTTCTCTAGTATAAACTACATATAAGTATTAGTTTTAAGCGACTACATTAAGTTTCTATGACTTTAGAATTTAATTAACCAGCTCTGATAATTGAAAAAAACCCTTCCATATTTGATTCAAAACACTGTAATCTCCCTAAATCTGAAAGCAGCTTGCAACAACCATAAAAACAAGAGACCAGCTGAAATGTGTCAGTGGGGTTAACTTTCAGATCTAAAGGTGAAAGATACATAACTGCCTACTAGATGAGCTCACTATTTTAGGAAAAAGAAGTTGTTATATATAATAAGATCCTTCACACCTGTGACCTGAGAGGAGAAGGGGAGCAGCCATCGATCAACTCAATGAGAGACAAGATCAGAGAGTGTTACGGCACCTCTGCCTTCGTTTCTCAGTGAAAGACGTGGGAGGGTGTAGAGCTGTAGCTTTACAAAAGAGTGGGCATCACTTAAAGCCAACAATCTAAAGAGATAAATAGTCAAGAACCTTGCCAAAGGGTTGAAGCATTTTTTGGTTTGAGTTCATAGGTCAGCACAGCTTTTCACTCTAGAGCTCAGTGCATGTAATTTGTAGAAAATCTAGATTTCATGGTGGTCTTGCAGTTAACTGTGCTGGGATTAAAGCAGTTTACATCTTGGTCAAATAATTTCTAGGCAGGCCACTGTTGTGAAGGTCAATGTTGCTTGCAACTGATGCAAAAAGAAAAAAAAGCATGTTGGGAGACATGTTTCTGATTTAGGATGAACAAGTAGCTAAAAACTTAAGGAACTGGGCTTGTCCTAGATAACTGACCTAAATATTGATGCTGGGCTTCAGAACAAATTCGTTAGAGTTGAATGAGGAAAGCCCATTTCACGTGTCTTCATCTTACGTGTACACAAAATGTGACTGTTCACGTACATAAAAATGCACAGGCCATGGACACGAGACAGAATTATCTACCGCAGGTGAGCCTGTTTTATATTAAGTAAAAGAGAAACAGCAGCTGCAGAATGCAGCAGTAATGTAAGATTTGGCCCTTGCCGTCCGCTGACGAATTCCCACTGTCAGTCACCCTTCAGAGCAGAGCCTGCTTGTCTTTTGGTCGTGCAGCCCACTCAACTGTGTGCAGCTGCCGCAGGGGAACCCTTGTCAGGTTTATGCCTCGAGTGTCATTTCTGTAGTCACACGCCCGTCGCCACACACGCCAAGGCAGGTGGAGAGTGGTAGCAGGTGTCACGGGGGAGCAGCTGCATGCGTGTTTCTTGGTATATAGTTGTGTAGACTAAAGTTGAGGAGACAGACTTGAAGGGAGACACCTCCAACATTGATGAAATGTAAGTACAAAAGACACATCATTGGATGGATATTGATGATGTTGTTTCAGTAATGACATCATCCATAGACTCCTAGTGTCTTTGCTTTGCTTCTCTATAGTGATCACAACATAAATTGCTTGTCTTGTTTGACTTCCTTGTTCACCAAAGTTGAGCAGATTGTCGCCGTTTTCAACGCTTCTACCAGACAAAAAGCTTGGGACCATTTCTCGAAAGCCCAGCGAAAGAACATAGACATTTGGCGAAAGCATTCTGAGGTTGGTGATTTTATTATTACTTTCTATCCATCATCTCACAGCTGGATTGACACAGAACGAGTGTGATTGTAGCTGGACATAGTGTATTCAGCAATATTTATGGCCACTGTTTTAGCTGTTAATCAACTGGCCATTACACAGTCTCATCTACAGTATGAATTGCTCCCGTTGCTCTCATTATGGTAACAGTCATTAAATAACACTAAGACAGAGAGCGATGTGGTTTTATTTTTCATGTAAAATTTGGGAAGTCATTGGAGGATTATGTTTACTAACTAAAGTAATGAACTGAAGTGGTGAAATGAGGAACAAAAATTTCAGCTAAGGATGGAATTAGGAATTATTTCTGAAAAATATCTTTTTAGGAGTCATCATAAACTGTTCTTAAAAGAAGTATTCTGTAGCATAGTTTGTTTTTTTCTCATCGTGCCATCATATGGTCATTTTAAGATGACTTTGCCTGAAAATAATATAGAGAATTTCTTTCCTAATTAGTGGCTTAAGCATATTAAGTCCAGAATTATGACATACTCCTTCCCACTTATTTTATGCTTATCTTAAAAAAAAGTAGATACATCACTTGTATTGATTCTAAGTATTATTAATTATTAATATTATAAAACCAGTATAACTGTAATCATACTACCACATAAAGTTAGCAATGTGGGACCATGCATGTGTGACTGTCATAAGCATGAGCAGAGGAAATGGAATTCTAACTCCTTTTGCTGCGAGTGGCAGCAAAGGAAGCACTAGACCTCATCCTGTGTGTTGGTCATCCAGCTTTCGTTTTTAATTCAGTATATACGCTATGAGCCTGTATTTTAAAAAGTAAGTACCGATGTCTTTGTTTTCTTTCCTTCTTCTGCCTTTTTTTTTTTAATACGAGCAACTTACATACACTTGGTTTACCTTCATGTAGTGCAGTGTGTTGATTGTTCCTATCACAGTCCTCTAAATGATTTTTCTGTCTCAGAATAAAAACTTTAGAAGGTAAGGTGCACTTATTTAATTATTTTGTAGTACACTTGTAAAATAAGTGTTGTACACTTAGTTTGAGAAACACTACAGTGCTGTGATATAAATCATTTGGATAACATTTTAAGTGCCCATTAACTAATGCTAAATTACAGCTGAATACCAATGGCACTAAATGTAACATCCGCATGAATACCAAATGAATTCTTTATTTTCAGTGCTATTATGGTGAATACCAAATGACTTCACAATAATGGGACACTTAAAATAAAATGTTAGCATAATTTATTAGTACAAACTGTATTTTGCATTTTGTTCACGAATACCTCAAATAAGTAGTGGATAAAGCCTTTGTTCGATTGAAAGTTGGGGGTTGTTTGTCTTATCTTTTAGAGAAGTATGAAAATATGATTTGGTAATAACTTATTTCAACAATATTAAGACCATCCCTTCTTAAATTAGCTTTCTGTAAGGGGATATGGTGTGTCATTCATTTGCTGCCTTCTAAATATTTAATAAACTGTGTAAGAATTGGTCTTTCAAGAAATGATAATTCATTACTCATTTTTTCAACTATTATTGCCTTTTGTTTTTCTAAGAAGACAACTAAAACAATTTAAAAACATGCAAAGGTTCTTGCTAAAACAATATATTTTAGAAATGTCTGTTTTTTCAGATGTGAAATATGATTGAAATACATCAAAATGGCATCTTTGATTTAAATATTTTCTAACCCTAACATTATCTGCTAATGTGTTTAATTACCTGATCACCTTCCCTTTTTCTTCTGAATTTAGGAAAGTTTTGCTAGAAATCCAAACCCAAAACAAACACTCATACATGTAGACATTCTCTGTGGAAGATTATTGGCTTTGCTTATAATTAGATATCAATGCATCGAGGACATTTATCCCCGAAAGAGGGAGTAAATGTGAGCGAATGTCTGCTCATGTATGGAATATACTTCCCCAGGAAAAAGTGCAGGCTGCCTTTTCCAGTAAGAAATTAAGAAATGGCATGCAGATTTCTTCCCAGAGGTGCCTCTGATTGCACGAGACACTAGCTAACAATTTAACTTTTTAATCGCTTTTTTTTTAAAAAAAAAAAATTTGCATGTAAAATGCCCACTAACTAATTAGCCTTGCTTTTGCTGGGGTTAATGGACACAGAGACATTTATCAGAATGTCTGAGCTCTGCCGATGAACCGAGGGTACAGCACGAGCGCTTTTTCCGTGCAGTCCCTCTCTGACAACTTATTGTTAATTGCACGGAGCAGCGGTCGGGCTCCTCAATGCTGTCTCCTCCTTCCATGCAACTCTTCCTTGTTTCAGAGATTTCAAACCACCTCTTTGGGAATTAAGCTCTTTGTTGGCAGAAAAATTAGCTGTCTGCGGGCTGAAAAGGCCTACACTAATCACGGTGCAGCATCCCCGTGTTACACCTGACAGGATTATTAGGACAAAATAGAGTCCTCTCAATCTTCTCAGCGCTGCCATTGAAAAGCCAGCCGCTACACCCGCACCAGCTTTTCTAGCCTGAACAAAGATCGTCTAGACTTCCACAAAGCCCGCCCGCCTGCCCGATGATCGTTTACCCAGTGCCATGTGTCCGTCCTTGTGGCGGTCGCCCAGAGACCAGGCTGTCCGTGCTGGCACTCGCTTTGGATCAAGATGCAGAGTTTTTCAGGGCAGCGTTCTGGGGCTGGGTGGAGGGGGAGATGATTGTCCCTCTGTACTCAGCACTGGTGAGGCTGCACCTTGAGTATTGTGTTCAGTTTTGGTCACCTCAGTATAGGAGAGATATTGAGGTGTTGGAGCGAGTGCAGAGGAGGGCAACAAAGCTGGTGAAGGGTCTGGAGAACAGACCTTATGAGGAGCGATTGAGGGAGCTGGGTCTGTTCAGTTTGACAAAGAGGAGGCTGAGGGAGGATCTCATCATGCTCTACAATTACTTGAAAGGACATTGTAGAGAGGTTGGTGCTGGTCTTTACCATCAGCAGAGAGGAGTAGGCACTTTTAAGGTGTAGTTAATATGACTTTGTTTCATGAAGACACCTACACGTGCCCTAATGAGTCCTACACCGAGCAGAGGTGAGTGGCAGAAAGAAGCAAGAGTTATCTATACCTTAATCAGCCTGACAATCTCCTTTTCAACCTGCTTTTTACACAATTTAGGAATTATTCTTGCTGTTAAAGCGTTCTCCTATGCTTAGCAGAACTGAAGATCATGCGATGTGGAGACTCCCCTTCTCTCTTATTTTCCCTTTTACCCTGTGATAGACACCATTCTTTCACAGGACAAATTCCCTGTGCTACTCTTCTTATAAATATTCATATACAAATAATTATTATTACAATGATAAAAGCTGTGTAATTAAAATCAGAGCAGTAATAAAAACAGATATTAAATAATACATAATGACTTTATGGAAGTTAATACTGACAAAAAGGTCATTTTGGGTTTTAGGAGCTTCGAAATGCTCACAGCGAACAGCTCATGGGAATCCGCCGGGAAGAGGAGATGGAAATGTCCGATGATGACAGTGGTGACAATCCCAGTAAAAAGCTGAGAGTAGATGATTCAGGTAAAGCCAAATCCCTCTATAATGTCAAGTGTATGCAACTGTTGTTTTTTTTAACAGTAAACAAAAACTTAGATATGAGAAGCAACGTATTAATAGCTGATTATATAAGACAATATCTTATTTTAAACCCTCATAAATTATTTATTTGAATGATGCAAGATGTCTCTATGAGCTGTCTGTCACCTGCTATGATCTATAGTGATGAAATATATCCAGTTCTGCCCTTGACTGAGCATTGCATTTCTTTAGCACATTCCCTTCAATCTTACATGACAGTATTTCGTTCCATGGCTCTAACAGTGTCTTATGAGACTAGTTGAAGTTATGTTTTGGTCAGTATTCTCTAATCCTTACCTTTCTTTTCACCAGATACATAATAATGTACAAGTTCTCTAACAACTATGCCATATCATTTTAACTGTGTGCTTTGTGGAATTAGCTTTCGCAATATGGTACTGCATACTGCAGTACTTTGACACTCTTTAGATTGCTGTCATGAAAGAAGGAACAAGGCTGTATGTAATATAACTACAGAAAAGCAACTTCTTCTGCCTTCTACAAATATTCTGCTATCCAGGCTGGACACCAAGAGGCAGCTCAGAAGCTGCCTGCATTACTGACTGGTAACATGATCTGGGATTTCTTGACGTTGGCTAACAAAGTTGTGAGTAGCTAACGGACTTGCTTGTTTAGACATTCATCTTCGGAAGAAAATTCACAGAAGCTGAAGCCAAAGCATAACTGTGTGGCTTTCTTTTAAGCCAGTGTGGCTTTCTTTTAAGGAAAATGAAGAAGGAGGGAGCAATATGGAAAGAAAGAGGGTCAATGAGGAAATTTTTGATCTAGTTATTTGCGTACAAGGCACCATATTAAGAAAGGGAATAATTTCATCCATTCAACGGCTTCAAGTCCTTGTATGCCAGCACAAAAGCTTACATAGAGAAGAGCTCGTTGGCTCCTGTGACAAGGTATTGTGTGAGGTGAAATGACTCTGGAAGTAAAGACCAAAGGAAGGAGAATCATTCTATTAAAGAAATTTTGACTGCGACATCTCTCTTGAGAGAAGATATAATATTTTTCCTGGAAGACAATTGCAGCAATAAAATCTGTAAAGGGCAGCCTTAATTTTTGCTTGGTTAGTTGTGTGGTTTTGAATTTTCTAGACACCATTAGCAGAATGTTTGGAACTGAGACAGTGGGTCACCACAAAGCACTGCTAGCAGTAAGAGATTTTTGTGAATGTCTAATCATTTTACCTTGATTATGTCCACTCTTATGGAGGCAAGTCATTAGAGCCAGAAATACCCACAGCCCACATGCCAGAAGAGGAGCAATGATGTTTTGAACTGTCATACTTACCTACTCAGCTAGTTTAGCATACACATGCTTAGGGCAGAGCTATGCTGGTCATTCTTTTTGTAACATCACAAATAGAAAAGTGTGTTTGGTTTCTTGGTTTTCTTCCATGAAAAGGGACATTTCTATCAAAAGTTTTGATATCTGAGATTTCTATAACTTCAGTTTATTTGTACTGTTACAACATGGGCACTTGAGTCCCCTTGATGATAACAGTAGCAAACTCAGTACTGTGTTGTATACTAAGTCAAAATTTAGCAGTACAAATCCACTTGAGTACTTGTCCTTCGTTGTCCATTGTACCATTGATCATCCTCTTGATCTTACTGGAGTTGTTCCAGCCTGCTGCACACATGGAGTCATACAGTTCTAAAATTAATTTTATAGCTTTCTTCTTGCAAAGGTACACTTTCAGCTAAAGCAAGTGCATTTGATTCTTCTGTCATTGACAATAGAGGGAACTTGGAGTTAAATCAAAAAACTTATTTATAAAACATCGGTAAATGAAAAGAAAGTGAGAGAAGGATTTTTTTTCATTTTTATGTACAGAGAAATGAAAAGTGATTCTTCCTTTTAGCATTTTTTTTTTAAATCCTATTTGTGTTAGCTGGCTTCTCTTTTTCTTTTTTTTCTTTCTTTTCAAGTATGTTATTCCAGAACCACCTCTTTATCTTACTGGAGTGGCTATTTGTGTTCACAGTAACCTCTGTTCTACAAAGAATGTTTTTTAGAGAATTTTTTATCACAAAGAAACAATTCTATACAGTAAGAAAACATTCGCACTTTCTTTATTTTTAACCCTTATTCTTAAAATGTTTATCTAAATGCTTAATCGTGGGAAGGGCAAGGCTTGAATAACACAAAGAAGATATTGTGCTTCTTCAATTCAAGGACAGCATGCACACGTGAAGGCTTAAAAGTCTAAATCTGAAAGTGGCTGAAGCAGTGAGACATGATGAATTGATTTGGATAGTTCCATAGTTCTGGACTGCCCATCCTGTAATCTCAATGAATTTTTTCTAGGATTTTGGTTTTCAGTCTGCCCTATTTGACAGTGGGAACAAGACTCCTGGGAAGTTACCATCCCTGAAGCTACAACAGGTAACAGAGATTCCCCCAGGCTTCAACACTGTGCCAGGTCTTTTCTACTGTTTCTCCTAGTGAAACCACTCCTAGTGCAAGAAGGCTTAACTGATTCAACAGTTTAGAATGGTGTCAAGGGTTAGGGCTGGGCCTTCAAACCAGGGCAAAGGGATTCTAAGACCTCATTCTGTCTTGATAAAGTGTAGTTTCAGGAGTCTCCTGGAGTAACTAGTCAAGGCTTTGTCATTCAGAAACGACTCCACTTCTCTGAGCCTCTCAATAGCATGGTGCTGAGTGTTTCCCATTTCCACACAGCTAGTCTGATTAGAATGAATTCTCTCCTTTAGGATATCTGAAGAGAAACCTATTCATCACCCTCAAAAAAAGAGGGTGGATTCCACTCCCCACATCTGAAAACACACAGCAACACATTTAAGCGCCGAGGCTGTGCAAAAGGACTTCAGTGCCTAAATGCTTATCCAGAATTGCTGGACTTCAGGTTTCAGAGGTACAGTGAGCTGAGGCCCTTGTACGCAATAAATCCTGGGGATTTGGGGTAGATGATGAAAAAGCCGTTACCAAGAATTATTTGCATTTTTTCTTCAAGTCGTGCAAGAGTTGTGGTGCATATTAAAAATCTACTATTAGCTGTTTGTTTAGGAAGATTTAGGCTTGCTACTTGCAACAAGGCAGAACAGCTCCAGAGGGTCTTGTTGTAAAGTGCATCACTCCTAGACTCAAATCCTCTTCCTTCATCTCTCAGTTGCTCTTCTCCTGGCATTTTATGAACCTTACTTACTGATAGCAGTGACTCAATGGCAGAGCTGGAATGAGAACTGGGACCTCCAATCTCCTGAACTTGTCTTCCACCCTCTAGTTCATGGTGCAGGTCCAGGGCACTGCCTCTTGCACAAAGACTTGCTCCTCCAGGTGTTTTATAGGTCATCCCTTCCTAGGTTTAGTTAGTACCTGATTCTGTCATGTACAAGCTATAACTTCAAGAAGAAGGAAGGCATCACTACCTGCTTGTTCTGTTGGAGCGCATATCAAACCACTGTGAGGACCTCCCAAAGAGTCCCCCAGGAAATCCAATAAGTTGGCTGAACCATCATACATGCCTAGTTTATAGCAAATCCTGCTGGTTTCACAGACTAAAGGTCATTTGCGTCATGGGAAATATTGGCAAAAGGTTGACCTGAGACTGAGCGAATCTGATCTGTGGCATCAGCTATTCCTTTAGACTTAGTTTAGTTTTTGCTATGTGGTTGTTGTGGGGTTTTTTTCAAAATTCAGCCTTTAAACAGTGATTTTTCTGTAATGTGGATTGTAGAGTTTGAAAGGGGCAAGAGGATTGCTGAAGTAAAGCTGGGAGATTGCTAGGAAAAAATAATAATGATGATTGGCAACTCAGTTAATGCATTTGAGAGTCAAGGTGCAGCTACTGAAGCATTAGCTCAAGGGGAAAAAAAGAAGAGATTCAGCGCTGGAGTCTAGAGGATATACAAAAATCTTCAGAACAATCAGAATTTATGGATGCTTCGTCTCCCACCTGCTGGCACTGGGAGTAAGGATCCACATGTAAAAGCCTCCAAAGTAATTTTAAGAATTAGTGAAGTGAAGCTGCATGTTGTAGAAAAGAGCTGAAGTTTGGTTAATGCCTAGAAGGCATCTGTAATTTTACTTTAAGGGGAGGTGGGTTAATCTCTTTCTTTTACAGTTCTCGGCAACGTGACATTAATTCTAGCAACTCCCAAGTTCTGCAGGAGACTGCAACTGGCACCATGGAAAAGAAAGGCATGCACGGTGCTTGCAAAGGAGTGTGGGAAGGACGGTCGCTTTTGACTGGGATCCTAGAGCTCTGGTCCAAATCCCAGCTCTGTTATGTAGCCCCTGCCCGGACTAATCAATTAATTCCTCTTATCTCAGTTCCCTACTATCAAACGGAGGCAAGGATTCTTCCTTTCATTCAGCCACTGCCTGTTCTGTCCACACAGATGATAAACACCTTGGAACAGGGCTCTCTCCAGCTCAAGAGACTTGCAGTAGCCCAGTAACAGAATCATGGAATAGTTTCAGCTGGAAGAGACCTTGAAGATCATCGAGTCCAGCCTTTGTCCCAGCCTTATCAACCTACTAAACTATGCCCCCCAATGCAACATCTAGCCCTCTCTTAAACACTGGGGCCCTGGAGCATTTCACCACCACTGTACTACCTTGATGAAGTGACATCTCTGGGACAGCATGCAAAGAGTAAATTCCAAGTTAGGTAGCACGAACCCGCTTGGAACACATAAGATTGATACTACCTTCCAAATTAGGAAGACATCCTCTACAGCAGGATTTTCAAACATACATAAATTAGGTGCCCAGCGTAAACATTGAAGCTCTTTCTTTCTTGAACAGTAGCCTGGATCTTTAATGCTGTCCTGAGCTGATCCGTCCTGTTTGTGGCTTCAGCTGAGTTGCTTGCCATAGGAGACAGACTGAATTGTGGGCAGCCCGTCTCACAGAAGAGTGTTAAGTCCTTGTGAAAGTCAGTATTTGAAAAATCACACTCTGGT